TATACAGAGTGTGCTCCTAATCTCAGCTCGTTACCTGTATAAAAGACACCTGTCCACAGAAGCAATCAATCAATCAGATTCCAAACTCTCCACCATGGCCAAGACCAAAGAGCTCTCCAAGGATGTCAGGGACAAGATTGTAGACCTACACAAGGCTGGAATGGGCTACAAGACCATTGCCAAGCAGCTTGGTGAGAAGGTGACAACAGTTGGTGCGATTATTCGCAAATGGAAGAAACAAAAAAGAACTGTCAATCTCCCTCGGCCTGGGGCTCCATGCAAGATCTCACCTCGTGGAGTTGCAATGATCATGAGAACGGTGAGGAATCAGCCCAGAACTTCACGGGAGGATCTTTTCAATGATCTCAAGGCAGCTGGGACCATAGTCACCAAAAAAACAATTGGTAACACACTACGCCATGAAGGAATAAAATCCTGCAGCGCCCGCAAGGTCTCCCTGCTCAAGAAAGCACATATACTTGCCCGTCTGAAGTTTGCAATGAACATCTGAATGATTCAGAGGACAACTGGGTGAAAGTGTTGTGGTCAGATGAGACCAAAATGGAGCTCTTTGACATCAACTCAACTCGCCGTGTTTGGAGGAGGAATGCTGCCTATGACCCCAAGAACACCATCCCCACCGTCAAACATGGAGGTAGAAATATTATGCTTTGGGGGTGTTTTTCTGCTAAGGGGATAGGACAACTTCACCGCATCAAAGGGACGATGGACGGGGCCATGTACCGTCAAATCTTGGGTGAGAACCTCCTTCCCTCAGCCAGGGCATTGAAAATGGGTCGTGGATGGGTATTCCAGCATGACAATGACCCAAAACACACGGCCAAGGCAACAAAGGAGTGGCTCAAGAAGAAGCACTTTAAGGTCCTGGAGTGGCCTAGCCAGTCTCCAGACCTTAATCCCATAGAAAATCTGTGGAGGGAGCTGAAGGTTCGAGTTGCCAAACGTCAGCCTCGAAACCTTAATGACTTGGAGAAGATCTGCAAAGAGGAGTGGGACAAATCCCTCCTGAGATGTGTGCAAACCTGGTGGCCAACTACAAGAAACGTCTGACCTCTGTGATTGCCAAGTACTAAGTAATGTTTTGCAGAGGGGTCAAATACTTATTTCCCTCATTAAAATGGAAATAAATTTATAACAATTATTACATGCGTTTTTCTGGATTTTGTTGTTGTTATTCTGTCTCTCACTGTTCAAATAAACCTACCATTAAAATTATAGACTGATCATTTGTTTGTCAGTGGGCAAACGTACAAAATCAGCAGGGGATCAAATACTTTTTCCCCTCACTGTATACTATTTGCCACGGTATATGGATAAAAAAAACTTGGACATTGACAGAAATAGAACAAAGGCTAAAAAATTGTGTGAAGAAGCATGTTGAGGTGCATGGATCAGAGAATATATGCACTTTAGAGACAACATAATACGTAGGTTTTCGCAGCCTATGTTACGATTTATCGTTGATTTCTTTTTTCTTTTAGGCCACGTATTAATCTGACAAAATGTGTTCCTCAGACTCCTCCACCATCTAACAAGCCAAACAAGTTAATGGTCTTGCGACGTTGCTGCATATTCACATACCAGTTATTATGGTTTCAGTTCGTCGGCAAGTTAAATAATAATACCAGATTGTTACTCTGACTCTCTGGATCTTGTCCTGATGATGCTGGTTGTCATTTGAAACAAAACGTCGTATCTAAATCTCATTTGGTAGTGAGGATTGTTCTTCAACTCGCCGGCGAGCTGAAAACAGAAACAATTGGCGTGTTAAGTGCTTGTGCAGATGACTGTCAGTTTATTTGGATTCATTAAGTTGTGGAGGGTTCTTCAAGATATTAGGATCATTGTTGTGGCCTAACCCATAAGTCAATGATGGTCACAGAAATATCATGTTGACTGTTAAGACTCACAAGTGGGGTTGGGCAGGAGATGTTTCGAGAAGAGGTAATGATTGTGGTCAATACTACCAACAGAGTGGCAGACGAAGTAGGGAACACAACTGAATCCACCCGATGGATGACTGCATCGCAGCGCCATGAGAGATGCCAACGGATTGGGAAGGCCTTTCATCCAGCAGTGGATGGCAAGTGGACGATTATGATGACGACACTGTGGTGATACCACACTGAGAAGACTAGGGCTTCTCCAGGTGTGTTTCTGGAGACAATGCCTCCTTATGTACCGAGCCTTGCGCAATCATGTAACGAAGATAAAAGTGTGATGATAGCTATTGAGTGCCTTGCGCGCACACACACACACACTCGTACATGTATGAATACACTAGTGTGCACTTTATAAATTATGTAGCTATGTATCATCTTACCGACGCATTCTTGAGTTCATTAAAAAATAGTCTTTGCCTTTCAATGTGATAAATAAATAAGCGACAGCCACTCAGAAAAAGTGCCCTAATTGCAGTCGTTAAGAGTAATTTTATTATACACAAAGCTATTTATCAGCATTGTTTGATCACAGTTTCTGGGGTAATCAATAGAGACTTCGTTGAATGGAAGATTTTAGTGTGTAAATTAGCTCGTAAAACACGGTGAATGCCAATGCATTTGATGTTCACCTTGCCGTGTGTTTGTGTACATCTCTTGAGCCCTTTGTCAGTCCACTCGTGGATAAACACCTTGTCAGTTGGGGGAGAGGTTGTTTGAACATACTTCAGCACACTGGTCAGCTTGGGTTGGTGAAGGGGGCCCAAGACCAGTACAAATATCACTAGCCACTGGTTTTCAGCGATGCTTGTGAATCAAACTCGGGTTGAGAGGTTCAGCGTGCGGTGTGCTAAACCACTGCTATGAACATGACATGTACAGTATTTATTTAGCTCAATTTCTCCGTGAATCAATTAAGCGTGTTCTATTGACACTACTACAGATGGTCAAATTAATTTCCAGTTGGATGCTCAGACAAATTAATCCGTTGGCTTATTTTATGTTTTATCATGGTGTCCTCTGTCCTTACTAAATTTGAACGCTAGCGTCGGTGTGAGCTTGCCATTCTAGTTTGCGTGCTTGAGTAACTTAGCACTTTGATCACGCACTACCCAGGCAGTTACGCCACTGTGAGAATGAAAAAAAGCCTTCGAAATCATAATCTCTCAATTTGTCAGCTTTGCGGAGCCTAACCGGTCATTACACAAGATGAACATCACCACCTAAATTTCACGTAAAATTAGGCGTGCGATTTAACCGAATCAGAATATTTATAGTTTCCTGGAGGAATCCGATGAGCTACAAAGATGCCCTTGACTGTTACCGTAGTAATTTGCCATGATTGATTGCATCACACAGACAATTTTGAGTAATTTTGCAAGCCGTTTAATGATGACGATGGTTGCCCACTCGCGCAGAAAGCCCACTTGGTTGTATAACATGAGGGCTGGGTTGTTGCCGCTGCTTGTGTGCCCAGGCAAGAGGTGTGAACGTTTGGAGAAATTTTACAATGGCGTGCGAACCACTGGTGGTCAAACGGTGTGGACGTCACGCGGGCCAGAAAGCAGAGGCACATTGCTAGTGGTTAGCAATACCAAGACTGGTATTGCTAACCACTAGCTTTGTTTATAGTTACAGCAATGACTATTTAAGTTTTGATTTGTGAAGAAAATCATTGGCCCCATAACTTTATAATAGTTAGACACTGAAATTGCATGTAAAAAATGTATGAACACTACAATGAGTTATTTGTCACGATATATTTGTTGGTAATGCCTCTGCCAGGTCTGCCTTGCAACAAACTGCTGATTTCAGAATCGGAATCTTTATTTATCTTGAAGAAATCCTATGAGCTATGAAGCTCTTTTTCACATATTTCTTGTAGGGGCAGGTCAGAAAGTTACAGCAGTAAATAATAGTTACAACAACAAACAATACGTTTAAGAGAACGCTTACAAATATAGAAACTACGTACAGGCGACGTTTCGGGTAATGACCCTTCTTAATGACGCATGCAGGAAGACCACCCACTGAACAGATGCAATGTTACCATCTTTACAGGACGTTGTGATCATTAATGCGCGGAATGTTGGCACTTCATAAAATCAAATACCGTTTAATATATTTTGAAATCTGCATAGCCCTTGCCTGGTTCTAAGTCAACGAACTTGATTAATTTATGGACATGACGGTATAACACATCGTTGCCACTCACTTCTGATCCTGTGCAGCCACGATCCATCTTATTTCTTCTTGTGTGCTGCTCTGGTCACTCTGTGCCTGGCCCACTCGTTCTTGTTTGTATGTTGATCTGACTTGGCGGAGTGGCTGGCCCCCACCATGGGTGTGTGGAATTTACACCGTTTGATTCGGGGCCATGAGTGGAGATGTTCACAATAAAGATCAAGATGTCACGATGGCCAAAGCCGATAATGCCATCACACCTCGCCAGTGCTTTCTATCCTGTGCCAGATCCTGCAGCTGCTGCACCGTTTACACATGACCTCCAAGATCTGCCCTCGCAAATAAACTAAACTATGAAACTATTTTTATTTTAAAACTTAACTATTTTCATTTTACCAGGTGAGGTCCACTGAGCTATGTAGCTCTTTTTCAAAAGCGATCTGGCCACAAATGACAGCTCAACGAAGTGCCTTATGTGGAAATTTATAGTAACCGAATACTCTGAACGCATGTTTCTAAATGTGGAGGAAAAAGCCGGAGGACTCGGGGAAAAGTCCACACGACCACGGGGAGAACACGCAAACTCCAAATATACAGGCATCAGGGTTGGGATCGAACCCACGCCTCTTGCATACCAGGCGAGGTAGTTAACATCTTGCCACTGTGGCGCCCAAATCTTGGCGTGGTGATGAGCAAATGTCTTATTTGACTGTGACTTTTCTTATGAAATGCGCCTTCCCTCGGCTGTCTGCGTCCCCACCGCTGGATTTGTCATACAAAGGCGACGACGGCCCGGACTCGCGTGGCTGTTGAAAGCGTTCACCGACGTCATAGCCTTTCCGGTGCTTGTTTCAGGCAATGGCAGAGGTGCAGACAAACACGGCGACCCTGAAAGACGAAGCGAGCAGGCGGCAGCTCACGCTGGAGAGGCAGCTCAACGAGGCCCACGCGCAGAGGGACGCTGAGAAGAGGACGTTACTGGAGGAGCACGGCAGAGAGACGCAGGTGCCCTTTTAAGCCGTGATCAGCACGTCCACACGTGGGTTTGCGAGTCGGCACGGCACGGTCGGTGTTTGCTTAACATCCAAATGTACGAGTGACTTGTATGATGCCGTGCAGCAAGGATGAGGGAGCATTCCGGTGACATCAAGGGTTGCAGGTAGAGAGCAACATTGTGTGCTTAGTTACGCGAGATGGTTGCACGTCATGGAACTTTATGTGCACACACGAATGTACTCGCACATGGACATACGGTCATTGTAAACACATTTGCATCCGAGCGTACTCTTGGCCAGCCACACATAACTACTGTGCATGAATAAGAATGTCTTTTGTTTATCCAGTAAAGCCACAGTGAGTTTGAAGACTTTTTTTCTGGTAGGATCCTTACATTAGGATGTTTCGCCAGTTAAATTAATGAGAGGTTGGCAAATGGCAGGGAGCCAAAGGACCTTTAGAAATCCACGCATACGAGGCGGCAACGCTCAGAGTTGCACACAGATGGATTGAATCTACTTCCTGTACTGGGAGTTTTATCTCCATATATATAAAAGGCAAAGTTGTGATTGTGTGTGTCTGTTCAAAATGTTTAGCGTTCTTCCCGACATGCAACAAACTTGAAATTTTCCATGTGGGTACTTTCCAGACTGTACACCATGCAAAAATTCTAAAAATAAACTTTTTTTTTTTAAGGGGGGGAGCTCAATAACACATATTTTTTGCACGGCAAGTGAGTTGTGACGTCAAATCTGTCACGTGACCCTCGCACGTGGAAGCGCGACGCATTGCAGTGTAGCGGTTAGCGCTACGCCGCGCTACGAACCCGGCGACCCGAGTTCGATTCCCGCTCGCAGCCACCCCCGGTGACGATTATTTCAACCGCTTCTGCACCTCCCCTAGGTCGACTCAGCCTCGAACAAATAACTGCTGTGGTGTGTGAACATCGCCACTGGGGATGCAAAGGCGGCCGGGCGTGGTGGATCCAAGTCCCGTGCGAAGCCGGGTAGTACAGCTAGTAAATGTATATATGATCCACCAACCTCCGTTTCCAGTATGCTGGATTATAGGCATCTGCCATCACTTACGAGCATACACATGGTAGTTCGAATGAGCACTTATATTCATTCAGAAATTCATATATAAATGCATGTATAACTATGAATATGTAATTTTGTATCTAATAGCGTATTTAAGTTCAGTAAAACAATATTCGAGGCATTACTTTTAGGATGTGTACATTGCGTTTTTCGGTGATGCGCCCATCATCTTCACTGCAGGATCAATTATTTGAGCATCCTCTACTATAATAATAATCATGCAATTTACAACAAGCACAATCTTTCACAGCCAGAAGATTTACCGTGACTGATTCATTGAAGCCGAGATCAGTGCCACTGGCAAGCCAGGCGAAAGAAACTGGGTTTTTAAGCGTCTCTTAAAAGTCGATGTGTGGATTGAACGTTGCTGTGGACGTGCAGCAGCGGTACTGTGATGGCCGCGTTCCAGACGGTGGGGGCTGCCGTGGAGAAACGACTCCCAGTAGCGATGGTCCTGGTCGTCGGTGTAGAGAGGAGGGGGTTGCGAGTCGCGCTGCTGCTGCTACAGAAAGTTCGAACGTGAGCTGGAGTGCTGGGGAACAGGAGTTGAAAGCCCCGCGCGTTCAGAGGCTTCGATGAAATGAACGCAGGTGAAGAGTGGGGAGTCATCGGCGTAGGAATTGCATATCACAGCATTGCTGTCAATGAGGCAGGCGATGGGAGACGTGTAGGCCGCACACAGCAGTGTGAAACTCAACTAAGACTAAACGTTTTATTTTAGCAGGTAAGGCCCACTAAGCTCTTGAGCTCTTTATTTCAGAAGCGACCTGGCCACAAGTGATTGCTCGACGAAATTGCCCATCGCGTGGAAATGTATCGCGGCCAAACACTCGAAGTGCACGTTCGTTCTAAAACGTGGTGGGGAAAACTGGAGCACCTGGAGAAAAATCCATGCGACCGCGGGGAGAGCACGCAAACTCCGAATATACAGCAGGCGTCAGAGTTGGCATCGAACCCACGAGCTCTTGCATTCCAGGCGAGGTAGTGAACATCTCGCCACACTTGCCCAGAGTCCCGGGGGACTCCACCGATGACTACCCTCTGAGCAAGAAACTCCTCTCTGAGGGCAGGACGTCATCCATTTTAGGGCTGTACCACTGACACCGAAGCCAGATACCAGGAGGCCAATTACAGAGAGGGTTTTGTTTATGGTGCCGAAGGCTGCAATGTTATCAAGGGTATGTGCGGGCCCTGTAGATCCCAGCGGTGCTGTTGTGGTGTTGGGCATGTTACTGTGTGCAGAGAAAGGGAACTTCCCCAGTATGAAGGTACACCGGTGATAATGCTGGTCTCATGGCCAATAGTATTTGCACTTTTGATTGTTAAACCAACTTGCAAACAACAAGCTCAACATGCGCCAATTTTTAAGAATTTGTAAAATGAGACTAATTAGTAGAATATGGAGAGTTGCACAGGTTTAGTGTTTTCGGCATTGTATATTTCCAAGGCAAATTAAATATTTTTAAACAGTTTTGGACACGAAATGTGGTGTTTAAATGCAGTGTATCCCTCTTTAGCGGTGTTAAAACTCTGCAATCTCTTTTTTCCGTGTAACATGAAATACCAGAGCAGTTACAGTTTTTGTATAATACAACTCTTCTGAAAGGCTTTAAGACTACAAGGATGGTTTCATGTGTTTTCTCTTAACTGGGGAAATAATAAATATTAAGTGAAATTGCTCAGAAGAGCGGTGAGACCAATAACATTGCTGTGTGATGCATTGCATTCACTTCTCGGGTGCACTTGCGTTAATTATGGTGGTGAATGTGATAACGAAAACTTAATTAGTGTTTCAATAAGAAAGCAAATTGCACATCTAGGATAGCTTATGCACATTTAATTTGGCAGTTGTTCATTGTTGCGATTCACATACTTGCTGAAACATAGTGTCTGATTTTCTTGACTCTTTTTACCATTGAAACACATCACTTAAAAGCTAAAGAGATACTTTGATTTGTGGGTGTCTAGGTAGGTAGGTGGTGGGTGGATGGATGGGCAGATAGTTTTTTTTCACACATGGTGGGTAATTAGGCAGGTATATATGTAGGCAGACATGCAGGTCGGTTGGCAGATAAGTGGGTATCTTTGTTGGTAAGGAGGTACAAATGGAGAAAATATGTATGGTGTGTTAGTTGCTATGTAAATTGTACCTGAGAAGATACATCTTTACACTTGTGAGAGGCATTTGAGGCATGTCCATTGCAAAGGACACAGGGATATTTTCTGATATTTTGAATTATCATTACACTTGTTTACCCAGGAATGTCTCACCGAGCCTCTTGACTTTTCTAGGAGGGTCCTGCCAAGTTTTCGCAGTAGCGGTCGATTCGGCTGCTGTGCATAGTCCCAATTGAGAAATTCGCAGATAATTTTTTTAGCACAGGGAGGTTTTGGCCATTACCATTTACAATACTTATTTTTTTTTCTCTATAGGAGGAAACCAGAGAAGCTGGAGAAACCAATGCAGAACAGGGAGAGCTCTAATCTCCAAACACAGAAAGACGATATATATGATTTCGTTATATTATTATCATATAATTTTGTTACGTGGCCTACGACAAAAGGGAGAGGACATGGCCCAGACATTGTCCAGTGTACAGGTACGCAGTGGAATGTCACATTTAAGGAATGTGAGAGATGGCGATATCTTTTGAAAGCCTTCATCCAACAGCGGATTGATCATGGCTTATGATGATGATATTGCATATATATGGCTATGTTATATTTTTGTAGCCAGCAGATATTTCCCATATCCTTTTTCAGCATTGTTGGTTGTAAATATTAACCTTTTCAAAATTAAATAGCTAGCTATAGCGTCACCAGATACAATTCACAAATGTATGAAAAATATATACTGATCTTCTCGTACTTTTATGGAGAAACATGTGGCATTAATTTACTGCATGCACGATACTTACATTTCCTGTCTCGTGAATCTACCCAGCCCAGTGGCACTATTGTTGGATCTCTTGCATAACAAAATTCACAGTGGTCGACTCAGCCAATCATCTTCCCTGGGTCAATAAAACGAAGTACCCCGTTTTTTGGTGCCAGAAAGATGTGTCACTCCTTGAGCATATTAGCCCAAGACAAAGGAAAGTGGAAACAAATTACAAAATGTGCAGTGGACGCCTACGGGCTAGCTGCCCATAGATCGTGATGATGATGATGACCCCTTTGTGGGATGTCACCTGTAGTCACTCTTTGGAAAGACAGGCCCCTGTCATGGGAATGTGTAATTTCCACCAATGGCACAGAGTGGCGGCCAGTGGACACGAGCGTCAACCAATTGCTCGCTTAATCAGGGAGGCACTTTGGTTTGCTGTATATATATATTTTTTAAGTTATGGGGGTTAAACAAAAAAAGTTATTAAGATCCATTTTTCATTTTAGAACTGCGGCAGGCTTATATTCCCATTTGAAAGTGGAAGAATGGAGTTTGTCCTACATCTTATGGCCGGCTGTAATCCCCCTGCGATGTGCCTGGCGTCCTTTGCCAACCTGTTGAGCCTGGTCAGGTGGGGCTGTGCTTTACACATCATCCTGCAAAGTCTGTTTGAGCAGCGATAGCGTAATCCCTAACCCACACACCTTGGAGTAAGCTTTATTTTGCTTATCCTTTCACCTGTGATGTTATGCCATTGTTCACTATTTTTCGAGTGATAATGTTTTTCTTATTTATCCAGGAAAGCCACAATGAGTTACAGGACTCTTTTTCTTCATGAGGGTCCTGCTACATTTTTGTTTTATTCCGAGATTTTTTCAGGCAATTAATGAGTGTTTATGCAAGTGGGATTTAACCAGAGCACCCTTGGAAAACACATGCAGGCGAGAGGAGGGGCAACACTGATAGCGATTTGTCCCCTTTCTCCTGGCAAGCCTCCTTAACGCCCACTGGAAGGGGGTTTC